TGATTATGTGATAAGGGAAAAAGAGATTGATGAAACAGGTTAAATCATAACGATAATGGATTGATATGAGAAGCAACTGACCGGTTCTCTTCAAATTCTATCCGAGCACATTTCATCCATTCGTAATTGCAATTATATAAATTCTCGTCTAACCAATACGTTTTACATTTGTCCAAATTTAGAATAAATTAATCTTTGCGGATATCAAAAAGCTAATCAATAATTGAAACATTTCCTGCAATCATTTATATCAAAAGTTTTCGTTTGGAAGCTAATGTAAGAAGTGGACATTATGGTTTGACCGGTTAATCTTTTCTATAGACAGTTATTGTTGTGAATAATGAAATATTCAATTCATTCCATTTCTACGATAATTTATTACAGCCGGTGATAAAATATCTTATGTGTTATCTTTTTCTCGTTCTTAACACATCTTTGACATCATGTAGTTTGGCTCATCAATTAGTTTTTTTTTTGTTCCAGATAAAAGCTAATTTTAGTGATTTTAATGATAAAAAACAATATTGTTCAGTTCAATTTAAATCAAATTTTATATTTTACTAAGAATTAATATCGATATCATCCACTGGCAAATTTAGAATTATTTTCAATTTACAGTTAGTTTTTCACACTTATTTTTAGCAAAATAGTTTTAGTCCAGTTTAAATTTCATATTTTTTAAATTGAATTTTGATTTAAAAAAATAACTTTAAAGACATATAATTTTTTTCGTTCTGATTATTTCCAGCATATTTCATTATTTGATTATATCATAAACCTAATGAGTTCTGATGTAGAAAATTCATGACAAGTTTAAATAAATTATACTATTTGAACATTCCCAACCAAATATCACATTTCAATCAGGAATGGGTTTGAATCGTAAAAATTTACATTGAAAAAAATTGTTAGAGTGAACAAATTAAAATAAAAATTAGGAATCAATTAAAATCAATTCTGCTTAATTGCTAAAATGTAACTGAAATATTTGATTTTACATTAAATTTAAAATTTGACTTTTATCCAGACAATTAACGAACTTCGCCATTTTTCAAAATAATCCATTGTCGATTCTTTCATTTTCAATTCAAAATTTTTGTTTTCCATTTTTTCATTTAACAAATTTCTCATTCTTAAAATTTGTACAATATTACTATATGATAAAAAATTACCATAATTTTTGCCATCAATACATACTATATAATGTGTAAACGATTGCTAATAATGATAACATTTCCATTATTCATATTTGTCTCTTATCAATTATGATAATCAATACCCCATATTAAAATCACTTTCTCACATTCCTCATCTTTTCCCAAGCATTTTATTTCATTTATATCATTTTAAAACTAATTGCTAAACTTTATCATTTTATCAAAACTATTTGAAATAACAATTATCCGTTTTTTAACAGGCATATTTTTCACTACATCAGTTCTTCATTTCTTGGCATTTCCAATTTAAAATCGAATTAAATTCCCTCTCTCACCTGTTTGTGTGCCCTTTTCATTGTTGCAGCTGTTGTCGTTCACATTTTGTCTAATGCCGCTATGGTTAGTCCACCTTCTGGCTCTCTTCTATGTCCATTATTTGTTCGCCTCTCTTCAAAACTATCAATTTGAATTACCACTCATTCATACCCACCTATCTAGCTAGCCTATTTGGATCTTTTCATTTGTTCGTCTGTCCTCTATGGTTGGACATAAAACTGTCTCCTATCCTTCAATTCATCATCATCATCATCATCACAACCATCATCATCATCATCATCATCATCATCATTGTCATCATCATCACCATCATTATCATCATTGTCATCATCATTTATGCTCAATAGATGCGACAATAGCACAGAGATAGAGATAAACAAATTCACATTGTGTGTACAACAGAATTGCAATTGGCTTTTATTCCATTTCCGTAAATTATTAGTACCTGTTGGTACCATTTTAGGCTTGATTTTGTTAGTTTCTCCTTCATTTCATCAATTATTTCCCTCATTTCATTTATATCATTTGAAAAGGAAAAAAGAAATTCCTTTTTTTTTTCTTTGATATTATTTATCAAAAAAAAAAAAAATATCATTATTATAGCTTTTCCTCAAACTAAATATCTCATCTTTAATTCAATTTTTTTTTTTCATTCATTTTTATTGATAATTATAATTGTTTAAAAAATAATATGATGAAAAATTTAACAAAGAAAAAATGTGTAAATGTATTAATCATTCTGTACTGTTATATTCAAAAAATATCGATTGATAAATTATTAATCAAGTTATACTAATCTTTGAATAATTCTTCACAGATCACAAAATTAAATCAATAAATTAATTTAATCTACTTATAATCGTTATACAGTAGGAAAAGAATTTTAACCAAATGGAACATATGTTTATTATGTTTTGTCT